TGCAAGGTATGCAGCTCACATTCTTGCACCAGCACCAAGACTAGCAGACACAATTTAGTACAAAAAGCAGGTTACGTAGATGCTCACTCTCAATAATTTAAACAGAAATGTTCATGTAATAAACTCCTTTAAAACAATTTTTTTTTAAACAACGGTTTTATTCACAACTTCGTTTAACTTACGGTCGAGAAGTACATCAATGGCGCCTGAGACACGCGGCACCTGCGTTTTGTGCGAGCCGATTCCACAGTTTAGGGACCGCGGCGTTTTTGACCAACAAATATATGTAAATAATAAGGCGTCCATACAAAATGTAAATTGCTTTAAAGTAGCGAATTAATGAACTGATGCCGACTTTGATACAGGCATGCATTGTCACCGGATGTGAGTACGTGTGAAAAATGTGGAATTGATTGGACAACGGGAAGTGGGCGAAATTTTTATTACAAGATTTGACCACGACAAACAGAGGAATCAAGTTAAGTAAAACCGTTGAACTAATTTAAACAGAAATGTTCATGTAAAAATAAATAAATTTTGACCCAATTATGTGGATCACACATGACACAATGGCTACTTTTCACATAATGTGCAAATTGACGACCAAAGAGAACACGTGTGTCGATTTACATCTCGCCATAGCTTCTGGTCAATATAGCATGTTGCAAGGACGTTCATAGCGCTGTAAGAATAAAAGGTGAAGGTGCAGCCCTGTAATTTCTTGCGCATGCCACTGCTGCTGGAAGAGCCCCTTGAGAGGGCATTTGGTCTAATCTTTCACGCTGGACATGTGTTTTTGGAAACGGTGGGAGAACCCTCGATGGATGAATCCCACAGGACCTGCCAACAGACTAAGTGTGGTGAACCCTTTTACACTGCTAGGATGACAGGTGGGGGAATTTAACAAACGTGCCCAGTGTCTCACCTATCGTGCCCGGGAGATCGAACCAGTGACTGCTGGATTACAAGTGCTGTAACCAATACACCATGGCACCATCCAGCTGTAGCAATACCGCAATAATAATACTAATACTGTACAGTACTTTATAAGTGTCTCGATGTGTCTCCGTGTCTCTCTGGCTCTGTGTCTGTGTGTCTCACTGTCTTTGTGTGTCTTCTTGTTGGTGTCTCTTCTTATTTCTGTGCGTGTATCTGTCCGACTTGTCTTCTTATAAAAGCAAGTGTCGCCCGCGCATTGGCTTTGATTGCTGCGCATGTTTTGTCACAAAAGATGTTTGCCGATAAGAGGGTGATGACTCATACATCGCGGATAAAATAGAGGAAAGGGGGCATGGATCGTCGGAGTCGAGGTTAAAAGCGCCGTGGATAATCGTTCCCCTGTTCAGTATTCATATGCCAAGTTAAAACATTCGCCAAATATAATTATTTGTCAGGCTCAATCTCTCACCCCCTCTATCTCTCTGGCCGCTCTGAAGAAGGGTCATTGCTCTAAACGTCACCTATTTTACTGACACTGTATTCTCTTGTAAGACCACAGTGTTATTGATGCACATGTTGAGTTGTTTTGTTATGTACGTATGTTTGATGTTTTTAAAAAGGGAAGTCATGCAAGACCTGCAAGGTATGCAGCTCACATTCTTGCACCAGCACCAAGACTAGCAGACACAATTTAGTACAAAAAGCAGGTTACGTAGATGCTCACTCTCAATAATTTAAACAGAAATGTTCATGTAATAAACTCCTTTAAAACAATTTTTTTTTAAACAACGGTTTTATTCACAACTTCGTTTAACTTACGGTCGAGAAGTACATCAATGGCGCCTGAGACACGCGGCACCTGCGTTTTGTGCGAGCCGATTCCACAGTTTAGGGACCGCGGCGTTTTTGACCAACAAATATATGTAAATAATAAGGCGTCCATACAAAATGTAAATTGCTTTAAAGTAGCGAATTAATGAACTGATGCCGACTTTGATACAGGCATGCATTGTCACCGGATGTGAGTACGTGTGAAAAATGTGGAATTGATTGGACAACGGGAAGTGGGCGAAATTTTTATTACAAGATTTGACCACGACAAACAGAGGAATCAAGTTAAGTAAAACCGTTGAACTAATTTAAACAGAAATGTTCATGTAAAAATAAATAAATTTTGACCAAATTATGTGGATCACACATGACACAATGGCTACTTTTCACATAATGTGCAAATTGACGACCAAAGAGAACACGTGTGTCGATTTACATCTCGCCATAGCTTCTGGTCAATATAGCATGTTGCAAGGACGTTCATAGCGCTGTAAGAATAAAAGGTGAAGGTGCAGCCCTGTAATTTCTTGCGCATGCCACTGCTGCTGGAAGAGCCCCTTGAGAGGGCATTTGGTCTAATCTTTCACGCTGGACATGTGTTATTGGAAACGGTGGGAGAACCCTCGATGGATGAATCCCACAGTACCTGCCAACAGACTAAGTGTGGTGTACCCATTTACACTGCTGGGATGACAGGTGGGGGAATTTAACAAACGTGCCCAGTGTCTCACCTATCGTGCCCGGGAGATCGAACCAGTGACTGCTGGATTACACGTGCTGTAACCAATACACCATGGCACCATCCAGCTGTAGCAATACCGGAATAATAATACTAATACTGTACAGTACTTTATAAGTGTCTCGATGTGTCTCCGTGTCTCTCTGGCTCTGTGTCTGTGTGTCTCACTGTCTTTGTGTCTTCTTGTTGGTGTCTCTTCTTGTTTCTGTGCGTGTATCCGTCCGACTTGTCTTCTTATAAAAGCAAGTGTCGCCCGCGCATTGGCTTTGATTGCTGCGCATGTTTTGTCACAAAAGATGTTTGCCGATAAGAGGGTGATGACTCATACATCGCGGATAAAATAGAGGAAAGGGGGCATGGATCGTCGGAGTCGAGGTTAAAAGCGCCGTGGATAATCGTTCCCCTGTTCAGTATTCATATGCCAAGTTAAAACATTCGCCAAATATAATTATTTGTCAGGCTCAATCTCTCACCCCCTCTATCTCTGGCCGCTCTGAAGAAGGGTCATTGCTCTAAACGTCACCTATTTTACTGACACTGTATTCTCTTGTAAGACCACAGTGTTATTGATGCACATGTTGAGTTGTTTTGTTATGTACGTATGTTTGATGTTTTTAAAAAGGGAAGTCATGCAAGACCTGCAAGGTATGCAGCTCACATTCTTGCACCAGCACCAAGACTAGCAGACACAATTTAGTACAAAAAGCAGGTTACGTAGATGCTCACTCTCAATGATAATTTAAACAGAAATGTTCATGTAATAAACTCCTTTAAAACAATTTTTTTAAACGGTTTTATTCACAACTTCGTTTTACTCACGGTCGAGAAGTACATCAATGGTGCCTGAGACACGCGGCACCTGCGTTTTGTGCGAGCCGATTCCACAGTTTAGGGACCGCGGCGTTTTTGACCAACAAATATATGTAAATAATAAGGCGTCCATACAAAATGTAAATTGCTTTAAAGTAGCGAATTAATTAACTGATGCCGACTTTGATACAGGCATGCATTGTCACCGGATGTGAGTACGTGTGCAAAATGTGGAATTGATTGGACAACGGGAAGTGGGCGAAATTTTGATTACAAGATTTGACCACGACAAACAGAGGAATCAAGTTAAGTAAAACCGTTGAACTAATTTAAACAGAAATGTTCATGTAAAAATAAATAAATTTGGACCAAATTATGTGGATCACACATGACACAATGGCTACTTTTCACATAATGTGCAAATTCACGACCAAAGAGAACACGTGTGTCGATTTACATCTCGCCATAGCTTCTGGTCAATATAGTCAGAGCTTTCTGCAAGGACGTTCATAGCGCTGTAAGAATAAAGGGTAAAGGTGCAGCCCTGCAATTTCTTGCGCATGCCACTGCTGCTGGAAGAGCCCCTTTAGAGGGAATTTGATCTAATCTTCCACGCTGGACAAGTGTTATTGGAAAAGGTGTGAGTACCCACGATTTATGATTCCCACAGGACCTGCCAACAGACGTACTGTTGTGTACCCATTTACACTGCTGGGATGATAGGTGGGGGAATTTAACAAACTTTCCCATTTTCTCACCTATCGTGCCTGGGAGATCGAACCAGTGACCACTGGATTACAAGTGCTGTAACCAATACACAATGGCACCATCCAGCTGTAGCAATACCGGAATAATAATACTAATACTGTACATTACTTTATAAGTGTCTCGATGTGTCCCAGTGTCTCTCTGGCTCTGCGTCTGTGTGTCTAACTGTCTGTGTCTTCTTGTTGGTGTCTCTTCTTATTTCTGTGCGTGTATCCGTCCGACTTGTCTTCTTATAAAAGCAAGTGTCGTCTGCGCATTTGCTTTGATTGCTGCGCATGTTGTCACGAAAGATGTTTGCCGATAAGAGGGTGATGCCTCATACATCGCGGATAAAATGGAGGAAAGGGGGCATGGATAGTCGGAGTCGAGGGTTAAAGCGCCGTGGATAAGAGTTCCCCTGTTCAGTTTTCATATGCCAAGTTAAAACATTTGCCAAATATTATTTGTCAGTCTCCAGCTCTCAACCCTTCTATCTCTCTGGCCGCTCTGAAGAAGGGTCATTGCCCTAAACGTCACCTATTTTACTGACACTGTATTTTCTTGTAAGACCACAGTGTTATTTTGTTTGTTATGTATACTGTTTGATTTTTTTTTAAAGGGAACTCATGCAAGACCTGCAAGGTATGCAGCTCACATTCTTATTCCAAATACAGTAATTTACTGGTGGTTCAGATGTCTTGTGACGCTCCAATTAATTTACCCCTACAATGTGTTTCCCTTGCATGTTCTTTTCTGCTTCAAATACAGCTTATTGACAAAAATATGACAATTTAGTAGATCATTAAATGGTGATCACAAGACATCTGGACCACTACTCGGCACAGTGTTTCCAGTTTGACCACTTCTCTGAGGCGACAATGAAAAGCACGGAATGAGGAACTTGTAAAGGAATTGCGGTCGTCGTGTCACGAGATTGCTGGGTGTCGTTAGTGTAGAAACTGGCACGGTACATTCATCTTAGTCTACATGGATGTTTGAGAGACATTAACAGTGTTTAATAGTTAAGTGTTTTACACTCATTGCCACTGGTGATCCAGCTGGGGTTTCTTCTGTAGAAATGTTCAAGTGCCACAAGGCGTATTTGCATGATTTTACAGGGAAGTATCTCTAAAGCAAAGCTACATAACAGCGATATTCATCGTAAGCTTCGTGCTCCACCATTTTGATACCAAGTTTGTAACGATGCAGCCAAAACAACTGGCAGCATTGGGGCTGATCTCTGGCATCATCTTTTTAAAGTTCATCTCAATGGTAAGTGTGTAATACAGTTTATACCCACTGAGGAGACGCTTTCTGCTCCTCAGTTGCTCCTAATCTCTTTTGTTATCAAACATTGCCTCCCATCATCTCCCCAAGCTTCCGATTACCATTGACATAAATCCGATGGCAAGTGTCGCTATTTCCCTTCTGCTGCCCAAATGGTCTTTTCTCTCTCAACTGCCCGTGATTTTCTCTGTTGCTTTTCAGTGGCGCTCAGACAATGGGAGGTTGCCACTTATATAAATATAAAAAATACACGATGTGAGGTTTTTCATTCTCGTTGGATGCTCCTTCAATTTCGGCTAGCCTGTTTCTTGCCGTTAATGTTTCAGATGTTTTAACTATTTAAGAACTAAATATTTCTATCTTCACTATTGTGTATAATTGCATTACACCTCGCTTTCCCTGTACATATGAATACTCTTAATATGTCGTCCTAACCTTTGGGGCTCCACGACCATCACACTGCAGTGTAAAACATAAAACTTGGGATAACACCAAAAGGCGTACCTTTGGTGTCATCTGGTCCAACACCAATGGAGACTAGGCTCTAAGGTAAGCTGTCTCGGGTGTGGACCAATCAACTTCAAGGACAGTGCATATCATTATCATCATCAGAGTTGTTTCTTTTTGTTTGCATTTTGACTACTTGTGTTGTGGTTATTGCAAACATGATGCCTTGTATAAAGGTGTCAGTTTTGTACCAATTTAAAGGGTAAAAACCTACTACTATATTTTGCCATTGGTAAAGGAGGTCTCATAGTATATATTTTTCTGTTGCGCTCTGAAGCCCTTTGTTGAAACTGGTGCGGCTTAGAAAACGTCAAATAATAATCAACATAGACTAATACCTCGGTAAATGAAGAAAATGCGTTCCATGACGTCACTTCGTTAACAGAAACTTTGTTACCAGAGGTATATATAACAAAGGACGCATTGGGATGCGTTCCAAGACTTCATAGAAGGCAGTACAATAGGATAACATGGCTGCACAGTCGCCTATACTTTGTCTTATTGGTTTTAAAATTATCTTTAAGGTGGACTGCGCTAGCCATAACGAATGTGCCACTTCAATGTCATCTCTCCGGCCTCTACCCTCCTCACGATCTGCATTTTCGTTTCCAAAGAGAGGGATTTATGTTGTACTTTTTGACAATTGTCTCGGCCTCGCTGTGTGCAGCGTTGCACCGCTATCCGAGGAGTTAACCTCGCGTCCAATAAACCCTCGGAGCCAGGATGAACGTCCGACTTCAAACGTCATTTATTGAGTTTAACGAGATAAAAAGACAACGCTTCTTAAAGTCCCAAAATGGACAATTGCGGCTGGCTTCACTGGGACGCGATGTGTGCCGCCATCTTGAATTATGTGTGTAATGGCCGACGCCCGCGTGGTTGAGCGGGAATCTTAAATCGCAACTTCCTGGTCACGTGACCAAAATTAGCATCAAAAACAGGAAATTCCTGTCTACATACGCCCCCCCCCCCCCCATCTGCCGTGAGGCAAAACAACAAGTAAGGCAACTCGCATTCGACCAGGGGTAAACAACTTTTCAATTAAGAAGAGCCATTCTTTTGGTTGTTGTCTTTGACCAAAATAGTTCGAGAGCCGCATCACACGCAGAGCTACTTGTACACAAACATAGCAGGTGACACATTCTGACAAACAAAATATGTGATGGAATAAACTGCGTCTATTTAGTATTTGTCCCCTTTAGATATTCTTTAACAATACTGTACATTTTGTCGTCACCAAGACATTCTATAGTGACGCATTCCCTGACGTATTTAATATATCGCTAATTATCTTACCATTAAATAATGTTTAAGATTTACGCGAGGGGGCAGCCAAAGAGATGCAAGAGAGAAGCCAAAGAGCCGCATGTGGGCCCGGAGCCGCAGGTTGCCGACTCCTGCACTAAATGGACATTTGGATGAATTAATGTGGGGGTAATAAAATATTTTAATCACTGCAAAAAAAACTATCCAATTGTATCAACACGAGGACCTCGAGCAATGGTGGGCCCGAGAGGGAGACTCCCCAAGCTCTTTGCTGATTGGATATTGATAATGTAATCAAACCCCACTCAGTTGAGTTCACAGGGTACAGTTTACCACGTAGGCTTTCGTGATCAATATCATTCATAGTAGAGGTGTTTTGGGTTAGATCACGTAAATGTGTCGTTAAACCCGCCACCACCCAACACAGCCAATTACTGAGGGTTGTCACGTAAACAGAATGTGCCAATTCGTCCCTAGTACAGCACACCCTAGTACAGTGCGTTGGAGAGCCAAGCCACAACATTTACAATCTTAGAACGACGTTTCGCCAGTAATTACAACTAGCTTCATCAGGCGACAGTGACAACCAACTAACCCAAAAAAACCTGTATTATGGATGATATTGGTCGCGAAAGCCTACGTGTTAAACCCATGATCTGAAGTTTAGCTTTTGTCCAGGAAGTTTGAAGGCCCATAGTAATATTTGCTTGGTCAAATCCTGTCGGTGCCATGGGCTGTGATGCTGGGTGCTCTGTTAAAAGGAACTGCATCATTAACATAGTTGAGGTCAGTAAACAGTTGGTCCCCAACAACCGATCATCAATCATTCATCCTATGTGTACCTAATAGAGCCAACTACTGAGTAAAGTTTTTGATAAGGCCCTTCTTATTCTCAGGTGTAGAATACTGTGAGAATGGACCTGCCAATTTTGTACCTAACTGGAACTCCTCCTTCATCAGCCAGTTTCTTAGGTAGTGTTCTTCACTAATTTTCAGAGAGGGGCCACTTTCGCCAATAAGACATCATCAGTGTGAGAGCCGCCACACATTTTAAACCATTGGGTTTGACAGCACTATGATAGGGGAGTGTTTTTAAATCATTTATATTAAGTTCGCTTGCTTGCTTGCGTGCTTGCTTGCTTGCTTACGACCGTGCAAATCTTTCGGTCGTTTTTTAATCCACTTCCCGTGATCCAATCGAGCTGACATTTTGCACACAGACTCGTTGTGCGAGACAATGAATGTTCGTGAATTTTTTTTTCCAAAATTTTACACTGTTTAGGGAAAACAAATTAAATATTTAATTACCAATTGCTTAATACTGGCAGACAATCATCTGACCCATAGGTGGCAGCCATCTCAAGCCAGAGGACGAGAGGACTCTAGCCGCCACGCATATAAAGGATTTATAGTGAAAAACTTTGTTTTTACGGGTTATACTTATTACAAATGTGTATTGTCGGAGGCCGCACATCAGGAGCCCCACTAAAGGCCACCAGGGGCCACTCGTGGCCCGCGGGCCTTCCAATGAAGAACACTGATATAGGGCGATCTGGACTGGCTATCCAGCACAGTCGTAGCACCTGCACGTGTCAAGAGTCCCGAACCTCACCGAATCTCCCCTCGGCATCAGGAGAGGGGAATTACGTCATTCCTACATTAATAAAATGCTCTTATTCTCGATTTCAACGTTAACTGGACAGAGCCCAAATAATTATGGGTTTGATGGTCAAGAGTAAGTATTAACAATAAGTAGTTTTTTTTCAATTCTTACGTTTAACATTTATTTTTCAAGTTGAATATTTTTATTATTTAAGTAATACATTCTTCTATTCGTTTTTCCTTTAGGGTAATATAACGAAATGAGACTGGAAAATGTAGGCATACAGAACAGACAAGACAGTACAATCAAGGCACTATACATAAAACAGACAGTACAAACGATACACAGTGCGAAGCAAACAGTACATTTAGAGTGGAAACAAGGCTTAAGAGGCAAGACAAAAATATATTGAATTGTTGCATACATTTAGCTGTGCCCTGACTCTTGTTCTACTTTAATTTCATGTTAAGGCTGAGCATAATGAATGTGAAGATAAAGGACAATACAGAGCGGCGAACGGGTTTTGCTGCCACCTCTGTCTTCCAGGTAACTGATCAAAGCAGTAACATATTGTGACGGGCAATGCATCTACTGCTCTATAAGTGGTCAACCATTAATTTGTATAACGTGTAGTTTTCATGTAGACAATATACGCGATTGATGATTGTTTCTACAAATAATAAAATTAAGGCAATGCTTGTGTAGTGGGTTCACCGAGAGACACACTTAACTCAGGAGGCAACACGTTTATTCTACAACCACAACGGGGTAACTATGTAAACGTAAACGTAACCACCGGAGATCGAGGAGAAGACGTAGCACGGCGGGTTCCATTTCAGCAGACAGCCGTGATGGGACCCCGGGACCTCCCTTTTATGTCCCCCAGCGTGGCCTGGCTCCGCCCTTGGCCACGCCCCCTTCTGGAACTCACCAGAAGAATCTGGGCCATACACCACGTGTCCCTTCTGTCACCTTTGGCCCACTTTCTTACCCTGTCCGGTCACGTGCCCTTGCCAGCCAATCGGGCTGCTATGTCATCAGATGCCCTCTCTCTGCCAGCCACCAGAACCATGCCCTTTGGAGACCCTTTTCCATTACATAGCACACCCTGCTGTCAGAGAGGGCTACTCACTCCCAGTTCTCTCTATCAGTAACTGGCGCCAGGTGCCGTCGTGACCCATTATATGTCACTACAATTGCAACATAGCATTTCTATAATATACCTGGGAAGGCTAAAGTTGATCACCATCACCAGTGGGCTAGGTTATATTTAATCAACTGGTCAGTACTCAGCTGTGTGTCAATGACCATTTCGAATAATTGGCTGCGAAACATTTTCATATGATAAGCTATCATTTGTGGCCAGGTCGCGTCTGAAAAAGAGCTATATAGCTCAGTGGACCTTACCTGGTAAAAAGCAAAAACATTCTGAAATATCGTTGTTCATTGCTCAAACTAATGATCTTGTGATATGTATTACAGCAGGCCAGAGAGTACCATTAAAAGGCATCATAAATTGATGTTTTGGAATTCATATTATGCTTTGTATAAATAACGTCATCAATTAGAAATGCATCCACATTGAATAACGTGTTTGAAGTAAAAGGATTGAAATGTAATATTTAATCAAACAAAAGTAATTTTCTGACAACATGATTATTTGAACTTGTCCATTTTACAGGAAGCAGGTGGCTTTATGACTGCTTTAACAATGGCGACCAATCTGTATGCACATCTTGCATATCAGGGAAGGACTACATGGACGTTGCAAACCGTGATCTTCAATGCAAAAAGTGCAGCACCTGCAATCTTCTCTGTAAGAGTTCCACATCAGTAGGTTTCATGTGTGTATATACAGTAGGTGTTATTTGAGTGTAGAGATGCATGCAACAAAGGTTAACAAGTCACTCTCAGTGAAATAAACAAACAGGTCAAGTAACTAAATGGATTAGAAAGTTCGTTATATCACCTTGCAATTGGTTAGAAACTGGTCGTGGTGTATGATATATTTTAAAAAGAGGATAAAGGTCTATGCAATCCGAGATTGGTTGAAAGCATGTTGCTTCATAGGCTGCACTTAACATTCCATCTGTGGACGTACCATACATGACGAGGGTCGATCCATGACGAGAAAGGTGGGCTGAGAAAAATCATTTTCAGGTTTTTTCATGGGGTCACAGCACTCCAAGAGGGACGCGCTTTACTCCAAAAGAGGCTGGGGTCGGTGCTTGAATGCAAGGGCAGACAGTGGGCCCCAATCCTCGAGCTGATCTTCCTTTATCTCAACTTGAGCAGGCTGCTATCCATCTTGTTGCTACATATGACGATCGTCTTTCTTCATTCATGAGAAAGGGCCTCCATCTTAAATAACTTAAATAACTTAAATAATTCTAGATTTGTAGTTTTCGTGACTGCAAGGATCCATACTCTTTGTTTTTTTCGGTAAAGTCACGTTGGTAAAAAATATGAATAAATAAAAGTAAATAAAATCATGACGTTTCGGTAGCAACACAAGCAATCATCATCAGGTGTGAAAACCACAGTAAATTTAGTTTTTAACTGAAGTGGGAGAGATGCCGGGGTTAAGGAGGTTATATACGTCAGAGAGGGAGGGAGGGGGGATAGGGAGAGAAGGGGGGGGGCGTTGCGTGGACGTTAGGGACTGGGAACGTGAGACTGGGCGGGGGGGGGAAGTTGGCGGATCTAGAAGCGAGAGGCTGAGGGAGCTGGAGATGCGCGGGGGGGGGGGGGGGGTGAAGCAGCAACAACGACTTCAGCCAAAACCGATGAGGGCACTTAAAGCAAAATAGCAGCACTGCTAAACGCTGGGGATGCAATTAACTCGGTAAAATAGACTAGTACCTGATAAATAAGATGGGACAACTATGAACAGTTACATTTTTACTTGGTTAATAACATCTTTCCAATGATTGCTCAATTTGTATTCATCTTCTCGTTTGAAGTTATGTCTATGTTTGTATATCTGGGTGGCTTCATGAACAAACCTTCGATGGTAGCCAGACGGTTTTCAGAGTACCTTGGTCTCGGAAAAAACAATATCATGAGAGCCCACAGTGTTATAGCAATGATCAACAACGGCGGAGGTATTAGTTCTGCCATTTCGTTTCCCCAATGTAATAGTACCCAGATGCAACTTAGTTCGTAGACACCAGGGTATTGCACGTCAGGAATGGCATAATTTACAGATAGGATTAGATCACAGATTTTATGTACTGTAATGAATCGGACTTGGATCTTGTGTTTGTTTAAGATTTTGGCAATTTTTTGGTAACGCCTGCTGTGTATGGTAACTTAAAGAATATGACTATCACGATATTGAGTTGCTCGGAAGAAGAAGATGGCACAGACAGTTTGAACCTGTACTCCCCGGTCGCACTGCGGGCCAGCAGACCGCAGTCAGGAGGGTGAGGACAAGATTGCGGGTTGGGTTTCACATCAATTGGCTCAAGAAGTTGCAGAAGTTGAAAAGGCACCATAGACAAACGTGGAAATGTATAATAAGTCGGGAATATAAGATGGTCTAAGAAGAAAATTACATACTATTAGAATACTAAAATCTGAAATGAAACCGTAAAAAAGAGGATTAATCAATGCACATGAACCTGGGGAGAGTGAAATCATATGCAGAGATGACATCACTGGAAGATCTAGCAATTCATATTTAAGAGTTGAGATTAATATATCCTGGTTATTTACAACTCGCCTAAAATGTCCACAATTACAGTCAATATGGTCCATGGCAACATCCACTAAGCCACTAACTCCAATACTGGCAGATTACAGGGCAATGTCGCCCGAATAAATTATGTTTCTAGTCTTTTTTTCTCACACACACATCGCCAGGTGATACAAATTGAGTACTATGCAGCATTAAAGAGGAAAGGCCAACATCTATGACTTCTTAAACTGCCATCGCATGAGTCCCTCATCTCATCTCTGATGAACCTCCACAGGTGAGACGAGATGAGATAAACTGACCTCATGTCGCCTCGGTTATAATTCCAACAATTGTCTGGGTTGACCTGCGTTGCGGCATGCATTCTCGAATGCCATGCTACTGGTAAATGTGACTCACTTTTCGATTAGTTTTTCAATTATCATGATCTCCACAGCCATCACAGATAATTTGTGTGTATCATATTGCCATTTGTATGTGGAGTATGCTAAAGTTATGATCACAGTTTTTGAACAATAGTTACTTCGGACATATATTACCAAGACCAACATCAATAATAGAGGTTTTTGGGTTAGATTGCGTCAATATAAATATGTCGTTAAACCCACCACCAACCGACATAGCCAATTATGAAGGTTTCTCATGGTAACAAAACATGCCCGCACCAGTATGTTGGAGAGTAAACTCACAACATTCACATGATCAAAATGGTTTGTATATCAAACAATCAATGCAGTATTGAAATGAAACTAAGTTTCCTTTTGTTCTCTGTCGTGCAGATGAAGATTTTCAACAAGACTGTACTGTCACTAGTAACACTGTGTGTCAGTGTAAGGATGGATACAGTCGGCCTGATCCTTCACAGCCTTGTGAAGTTACATCAAACACAGGTGAGAAATGTCTTCTTTATCTCTAAAGCCTCTGTTACCAACATATGCAAGTAAGAGGCAAAGTTATTATGAAATGCACCAACTTTCAATTCGTAAAGGATTTGCACATCTTGGACGTGATTCAAATCTTGTCAATATTGCTGTTCTGAGTATTTTTTTAAGTACCATACGCAGACAACTTCTTCCTTTTCTATCGTCATTTTATTTTATCCAACACAGCACATTTCACCACCATTCTCCAGCGCGTTCTCCGCTCGCTCGCCGCGCTCACTCTGTTCCTCCCTCTCCCTCTCTGTCCCTCCCGACTCCCCTCTCTGCTTCTCCGTCCCACTCCAGCCGTCACTCTCTCTCGGCTTCACCATCTCACTCCGACTATCTCTCTCGTTCAACTTCTCCGTCTCTACTGCTACCCTATACTTCTTCTTCCACTCCACTGCTACTCTACACTTCTTCTTCTACTCCACTGCTACTCTACACTTCTTCTTCTGCTCCGACCGTCTCCGTCCAGCTCCCAGCACAACTCCCCGTCTCACTCTGACGCTCCCCTATTTATCCCCCTCCTCATTAATTTCCAATCAATTAACCAGCGTCCCTCCCGACGCCCCGCGCCCGTGGCCCCCGCCGCCACCTGCTCCGAACCCAGACTTACTGGCGCCACCTTGGCCTTGACAACAACAACCGGCCAATCACTGCCCTGCATCCCATAATTGCCTAACGGGCCGTCTCCGTCTCCTCCGTTGTCCCTCAGCAACACCAACCTGTCCCGGTACGACCCCACTGTTCCCAGCACGCACGTGTTTACAATTACACCCCTTGGCGCGCGTTAAACTACTACATAAGTGACATGCCACACACATCAGAGAAATGTATACATGTGATACTTCCCTTGCTATACAGGTGTCAAGTCTAAAACAGGTTATTCCCTCACCAAGGACCAAACCGTGATTATTTCAGACATTGGCCACTCCATACAAGAGCATGGCTACTGTTTTCCATTGGAACAATTAGCTGGTAATTACTGAACCAAATGTGTATTTAGAGCAAAGAAGTCTAGAATCAGCTGCTCCCAAAATATATTGGGGATACTGTGGATCGAAACCTAACCAACCATTGAAGGTTGATGAAAAAATGAAACCTTATCCACAAAGTCGCAAACACTAGTTGGAGAGCAGATGTGCTTAAACTACACATTAGTATTATACCTGTTTTATATTTGTACATCTGTAGTAAGTATGTAGGAGGCTTGACGACAGGATCGGAGGCACACTTGTTTATTACACCAACTTGTGCATACACAGTAATTACGGGTCACTGGGCTACAGGGATACACAACAGCTAACCCCGCTAACCTATGCCCAAGTCCTCCACTACGGAGCTAGGGGAGGCTATCTATCCCAGCCCTGGTCAAGCTGGGATCCCGGCACCCTGAGTCTCCAGACCTGCTCGTCGGTCTGGGCTCTCGGGGCCACGCCACCGGCTTGCCCTGGTCGGCCCTTATAAGGACAGCGAGCCAGGGGAGCTCTGGGGCCTATTCTAGCAGGTCTTCCTTCTTCTCTGGTTAAAGCTGAGCTCCGACCTCGAGCCCTCCGGCTCACCACCTTTTATAGGGCTCGGCCCCCGGGAGGGGCCCGTGGGGGATGCAGGTGCGGACGTCGGTGCGAGCACCTCCCCTGTGTACGGCCGTAACCCCGCCCCTTGTGTTTGTTAGCCATCCGTGGCCATGCACAATTACACCTCAACATCCGTGGCCATGCACAATTACACCTCTACATCACCCCCCCCTGTACAGCTCGCAGCCGTCCCCGGCTGCAAAAAATTTAGAATAAAGGTGCATCTCACCCGAAAACCGTGTGTGTGCCTCGCGTAATTTTAACAAGAACAAAGAGAACCATAACAAGAACAACAACAGGAAGAGAAAAAAATAACCCGACGCACCCCCCCGAATAAATACCCCAAAACCGACATATATACACGCACTCCGGACGCCACCCCCCCCACTGTCCGCAAGGCCCCCCAACGGCCGACCTCACAATAGTCTGCGCGTTTTGGCGCGCGTTCTCGCGGCGGGCCCGTCACAAGGGCCCGTCCCGGCACGCTCAGTGGCGGTTGTTGACGATCCGGGTGCAAGAGAGTCTGGCGTCGCTGCCGAGTGACCCCCGACCCCTCCGGGAGGGGTTGGCGGGCGTGGACCCGTCACTCCTGTTGCACCTGGAGACGGAACAGTTGATGTCAGGTTAGGCGAGAGCAGCGACGTCGGGGAGTCGGCGGAACCCTCACACGTTTGGCCATGCGTGTGTGTGTGTGAACCACGGGGCGGCACGATGAACGGTTTCAACCTTGAGGGGTGCACGTACCACCGACGCCTCCCCCATTTGACGCGAACACATTGCGGCCGCAAGACCTGTACGACCTCCACTGGCCCCCGCCACGGCCGTACCAATTTTGACGAGGTTGCCAGCGGCACCTGGGGACAGTGCAACCATGCCCTGTCCCCTGGTTTCCATTTGAACACATGTACCCGCCCCAGCCGAAGCCTCTCGTTCGCCCTCTGGCGGAGTTCAGAATTTTGCACGGCCGCTTCCCGCGCCTCAGACAATTTGCTGATGTTAAATTTAACGTGTTCGGACAAGTTAGACTTCGCCTGGGGCGCCGAGAGCTTCAGCTGGGTCGTTACAGGGGGGTTAGCCTCGCGTCCATACATTAAAAAGAAAGGGGAAAATCCGGTGGCCGCATGGGGAGCCATCCTGTAGGCCTGCAACACACCGGCTATGCGAAGGTCCCAATCTGTCTGGGATACTGACACCTGCTGGGACAGCATAGACGTGATGGTCCGATGCAGCCGTTCCACCATCCCGTCAGTTTGTGGGTGATACGGGGAGGTCCGAATTTTCTCCGTACCCAAGAGGTCGCACACCTCGCGGAGGAGTTTTCCCGAAATATTCTTACCCTGGTCAGTAAGCAGCCGTTCCGGAGCACCCTTGTCGAGGACATAGCCCTGGACAAAGGCCTCCGCGATGGCTGCTGCCGACTGGTTGGCCAGGGGCCAGGCCATAGGCCATCTCGTGAAGTACTCGACCCCTGTCAATAAATACCTATTCCCCCTGGGTGTAGCGGGAAATGGGCCGAGTATGTCTAGAGCAACGAGCTCGTTAACCCGGGAAACCTTTATGGACTGCAGCGGAGGGTTGGACCCCCTAGCAGGTGGCTTCCGCTGCGCGCATTGCGTGCACGACCCCAGGAGATCCCCCACGTCCTTTGCCATGCCCGGCCAGAAGAAATCGAGCTGGAGCGTGGCAAAGGTCTTGTGAACCCCCAAGTGCAGAAGCCGCTCATGAACAGCCCATACCACCTTACCCCTTAATGCTGCAGGCACCACGAGCCGCTGGCGGCGGGTTTTTCCGTCCCAGTGCATTAAAAGACCCTGGAACAACCCCCACGAGTCAACGTTCGCCACTCCCTGACCAACCCCCCCGGCGCGAAGGAGGGAGGTGTTCTCCATTTGGAGGCGTCCCCATTCCGCGACCGACAACCCCAGCAACGAATCCCTCCCTTCTTGCTCGATAGGACCCGAAGCCAAAGGCACATCGGCGGCGGCCACGAGGACCGAATCGGTGGTGACGTTCGGGGGCCTACAACGCCCCGAACCCAAGAGGCAAGCGCACTCCGAAGTGGGTGGCAACCGCGACAGGGCGTCAGCGTTCGTGTGGCAGACGCCCTTACGATATGTGGTGACAAAGTCATAGTCTTGGAGAATCTCCAACCATCGAGATAACTGGCCCGATGGTTGTTGAACCCGCAGGGCGTATTGTAGGGCCGCATGATCTGTACGGACGGTGAAACGCCGACCGTACAGATACGGGCGGTACTGCTGAATGAAATAAACAATTGCCAATAATTCCCGACGGGTAACGCAGTACCGTTGTTCGGCTGGAGACAGTACCCGACTACCGTAAGCCACCACATGCTCTACGCCCCCAATGAGCTGGGACAGCACGCCCCCGATGCCCGTGTTACTTGCATCTGTATCGAGCAAGAAGGGTTGTGAGAAATCGGGGTAATTCAACGGCGGAGCCCCCACCAGGGCATTCCGGAGGGCGCGAAAAGCAGCTTCCTCCTCCGGCCCCCAATGAAACCTGACTCCCTTGGACGTCAAGGCATGCAATGGTTTCGCGATCGTAGCGAAGTCAGCCACAAACCGTCGATAATACGACGCGAACCCAATGAAACTCCTGACCTCTCCCACCGAGGTGGGAGTCGGCCAGGAGCTGACGCATTCCGTTTTGGCGGGATCAGTGGATATCCCCGAGCGCCCAACATTGTGACCCAAATACCGCACCGATTCGCGGAGCAAATGGCACTTCTGCGGTTTAAATTTTAAATTGGCAGCCCGCATTTTGAGAAAAACAGCACGCAACCTCTGGAGGTGTTCCTCGAAGGATTTGCTAAAGACGATGACATCGTCCAAGTAAATTAAACACGAATCCCATTGCAAGCCTGCCAAGACCAGTTCCATTAACCGCTGAAAAGTTGCCGGCGCAGAATGTAAACCCATCGGCAACCGGTTAAATTGGAAGAGACCTTGCGGTGTACGAAAAGCAGTCTTAGGTTTTGATTCGTCATCCAGAGGAAGCTGCCAGAATCCAGATAGTAAATCGAGGGTGGAAAAGAATCGCGCCCCCGCCAAGGCATCGAGCGATTCATCCATTCGAGGAAGCGGGTACGCATCTGCCACAGAAATTTTGTTCAAACGCCGAAAGTCGACACAAAACCGCAGTGAGCCGTCGTGTTTTTTCACCAAAACGATCGGCGCGCCCCACGGGCTGTTGGAAGGGGAAATGATATCGGCGGCTAGCATGTCATCAACAGCCGATTTGACATGATCCTTTTCGGCGGGACTCAACCGAAAGGGATTTTGGCGGATTGGCGCGCTGTCACCCGTGTCAATATGGTGTCGCAGCAATTTAGTACAACCAATATCAAATTTGTGTTGACTAAAAACG